GAGCTATCGAATGAAGCCCAGGGGATGTGCAGCCTTGCCCTACACCTGCCTTTGGGCCTCCTCTCAGAGCATCCCCTGAGCAAGGTCAGGCTGACACCAAGCACAGGGCTGAGTATCCTTCTCCGTGGGGCTGAGCATCCTCCCTGCCCGGCATGTCTGTGTCTCTCCATCCCTGGGGTGCAGTGGGGACAACGGCCCAGGAACCCTGTGAGCATTCAGGGCAGTGGTTGGGGGCAGGAGGAGGGTTTCCCTCACACCCTCCATATCCCCCGTAGCCCTGGGTGCACCCACAGCTTGGCAGGCAGCTCTGGAGGCAAGCAGCATCACCCAGAGCTTGGGGAAGGCGCTTGGTGAGATTCAGCTGCAGGAGGTGAAGCTGGGAGCATCATGGTCCCTGTCCACACTTTGGCCTCCGAGGTCTGGTTTTGGGGCCAGTTTCCTTGTTTCATGATGCCGGGGGAAGTGTGGGGCTGCCCCTTGGCCAGCCCTTTCTGCCACGGAAGCTGCTGCCTGCTCGCTGCAGCCTCTCAGGTGGGGTTTGGCTGTCCTCCTCTTACCCCCTGGGAAAGGATCACTGAGCACAGCCGGCAAAGAGGCAGCCCAGGGAGAGAGCCCATGAAGGCAGTGAGGAAACCCCCTCCACACCATGCCCCCTTCCATTGCTCCTCCGTCACCCTAAAACTCCTGGGTTAGAGGCAGGGGGAGGCAGAAGGCAGCCAGTGCCACCTCTCAGCATCTCCTCCTGTGCCCATGGACCAAAGTGAGCCTGACACTAAGTGAAGGAAGGGGAGGCTGATCAAAGCTGAGTGGTATGTTTTTTCCTTTCCTTCCTTTTTTTTTTCCCCAATCTTTCCTTAAGTGTGAACACCATCTGGCTCCCCCAGCTCCATCAGCGCTTCCAGTCCCCAGGCAGCTTCGCTCTCCCTAATTACTGTCATTAGGCAGCGGGTAGCAATTAGGGAGGGATGCTGATGAGCAGCATCAGGAAGGCAGTGGTCCCCCAGCAGCCTCATGCAGGGGGCCGGGTGGCCTCTCCTCCCCAGCCCAGGGCCTTTTCCATCTGGGAGCTTGGTGGGGACCACGGGGGTTTCTGTTTTGGTAGAGGCTGATTGGGAGGGATGGGCAAGGGAAGTGCCAGCTGGGGGTCCCACGGAGTCCTGGGGGAGGCCTGACAGCACTGGCGATGGGCTGCTCTACCTCGGCAGAGCTGCTCACCAGCTGCTGCTGGTGGAAGGAGCAGCAGCTCGCTGCATCCCACTGTGCCTATAGTTGTCTCACCACTCTGTGCCTGCTTTGCCCATAGGTGTCCAGCCACCAAGGACCATTTCTCCCAGGCAGCCCAGAGGCCATGGTGATGGGCTGTGTGACCAGACAGGGTCATACCCAACTGCCACTCTTCTGCCTGGCCAAAGTGGGGCTGGCCGCCAGCCTGCCTGACCTCCTTGGTTCACCGTGCTGCCTTTGTGCATTCACCTTCCCGTGCAGGTCCCCTGGGGTACTGCAGCCACGCAAGCCGGTGTGCAGTGTCAGTGCTGTCTCGTGGCAGGTACCCTGGGTCTGATGGCTGCTCCTCTTCACCCATGGCCTCTCCTCTTCACCCATGGCCTCCCACGGGTGTCCCATGGAGACTGCACCCAGGTGTCCCTCTGCCATGGCTGGCACTGGGAAGTGGGGAAGGCTCCTGTGGCGTGGGGTGAGATCAGTGCCCTGGGGTGGGTGATGGGGTGGTCATGCAGCCCCATCTTCTAGCAGCAAATGGGGTTATTGGAGGCTGCACCCAGAGATGGGTGGTCCTTGTTCAACGCTGGCCATCAGACTATTGCTCCATGCATGGCATAAAATGATGCCCACCATACCTTGCCTGCTCCCAAGGTCCAGCACCCACAGGAAGCCTATGGAGGGGTAAGCTGAGTCTGTGGGGGCTGCTTTGGGCTGGAATAGCTGGGTCTGTGAGTGAACTGTAGAAGACTAAAACTGGTGGGTGAACCAGCAAGAGGAGGAGAAAGGATAAAGTGAAGCAGAAGAACCCAGGCAAGGAGGCTGGTGGAGAAAAGACAAGCACTTTGGATGCTGGCAAGCTGTGGGATTGAGGAGCACTTGGGAGACATGACTGGTGGCTGCAGAAGACTTTGGCCAAGGCTAACCTGGTGCCTCACCTCTCCATACCAACACATTCTGTTGGCCAGTTGGATCCTGCCTGTAAGGCCAGAGATGGAAATCACTGCGCATTCCTAGGGACACCACGGTTTCCACCCTTTACCACCAGCATCATTGGTGGAACTTGCTGGAGCTCAAATACCCCTGTGGTTCCCATCGCAGGGAGGCTGAAATAGCGAGAGAGATGCCTGAGGAGGATTTGCATCGAGGAGGGTTTTAGCCTCGGCTCTTTCCTCCTGCCCAGGGGTTTCCTCAGACTTTCCCCTGGCTCTCCCTGAAACCCCACGCTGCTGTGGCCCAGTGAAGCCTGGTCTCAGCAGCCCTCTGAGGCAGTGGGGCGGGCAGTGGGGAGGGAGGAAGCACAGCTCCTGCCTCGCAGGGGGAAGTGAGAAACTGCTGTGGAAGGTCAAAGACAGGCGACAACCCCCAATAAACACTTGCCCCACTCCTCATCCTTCCAAAGAGCTCCTGGGGCGGCTGTGGTGGGATGGAGGTGGCCAGGCTCGACTGGTCCTCATCATGCAGGGGACATGCCAGTAAGTTAGTGCAGATGGAGCCTCTCCAGCTGTACCCACGGGCCCACAATACTGGAGACCCCCGAAGCCTGGGGAATGGGGACCCCATACAGACCCCTGGGAACACACTGGCAATGGGATCACTTTATTTTTTCATGTTTATAACCACATTTTCATCTCTGCTCCCTCCGCTCTCCATGCATCAGACAGGCAGACGTCCCCCTGCCCTGTACATAAGGATGGGGGCACATGCACACAGGGGGCTGCAAATCCATCCCAGGCCCAGGCAGGCTGGGCAGGAGGGAGCAATGTCCCACCATGACTGGCACTCGGGCTGGCAGGACGTGAGGAAGATGTCCTGCATGCTGCAAAAGAGAGGGGATCCCAGAGGCATTCACTGGTTGAGGAATCCAATGTGGATCAAAATGCCACTTCTGCGAACTGCAGATGCTGGTGGCATCCCGTAGAGGAGATGTCTGGCTGAAGTTCTAGTAGAAATGAGAGCAAAAGCCCTTAATTGAGCAGAAAGAGGGGCTTTTCCAACAGGATTGTGTGGCAGTTGCTTTTCCAAATGGCCACGCTGGTCAAGGTGAGTGGTGCATCTGTAGGGCTGAGCCTTAACAGCCACCGGGTGTGAAGCAGGAGATGCTCCTGACAGTCCTGGTTCACTTTGCTCTCACCACCATCTCCAGTGAAGCCGGCTGCTCTGCCTCCGCAGGCAGTCCTTGCAGTGCTAAAATGTCCCCCGGCCTGGCTTTGGCTCATTTCCCCACTGCACAGGGGCACAAAGGTTGCTCAAAGTCACTTCACAGGGTCCAGTGTGGAACATAGTTACGAGGAGATGCCCAATTTGTGCTGCAGGAATAATCCTCCTGCGGGTAACTGGGAGTGCTGGAGCCTGCACAGGTCCACAGCCAGGAGACAGTCACTGGGCACATGGAAGAGTCCATCCACCGTCCTCAGCCCCAAGACTGAGATAAGGACCCGTCCCACCCAACCCATCCTATCCTGTCCTGGGTTGTGCAGAGTCTCACTCAGATGAAGCCTCGCCTCCACCAGTGTATTTAGGTCTGGGAGAGGAGTCACGGTGATGAATTTGGGCCCTGGCACCTGTGGTTCACCTTTAGGGATGGATCCTGTGAGTCCAGCTCCTGTGCCAGGGGCAGGGGCAAAGAGGGACGGGCACCATTCAGCAGCAGTGCCTGGTCCTGCAGCCCCAGCAGAGCTCAGGCTTGGGCAGGCAGTCACCTTCCCATCATCAGAGGCACATCTCCCCTGCACACTGCTGCTGGGTGACCTTGCCATGAGCTGTGGCCCATTGGTGCTTGGAGGCAGTGCTCTCACACCTTGCTCTGCTCAGTCTCCAAGGCCACCTGGCTGAGGAAGCCACCTCACCAAAGGGCAAGCAAACCTGGGCTGCCACTGAGACAGTGCTTCTTGGAAATAACTTCTAATTGCCCAGTCACCCCCTTCGGGGCCACCAGGGCTTCTCAGCCAACCCACTGGCCTGGGTCTGTTCAGCCAGGGGATCAGCTGCTGTCATTAAGCGAGAACAGCACTCCCATGTTAACAAGTTCCTTTCTGAAGCAGAGCCCTTCCTGCACATGAATCCTCTTGTGGGCAGGTGAACATGACCATCCACAGAGAAATGCCTTGGACCAGCAACTCTGGCCAGCTCTGGCACACAGGCAAAGCTTTGGAGCACATAAATAGCTATCCTGCCTACATTCGCATCACTCCCTGCCTGGTTTTGCATGGCATGGAAACATCCATCCCAAGTGATAGGTGGTATTTCTACAGCCACAGTGAGCTGAAGTGATGGTTGCCTGGAGCCGTAGTGACAAGCTCATGGAGCCACTCTAGACCAGCAGCCTGCCTGCCCGTGGTACCCCCTGAACTCAGTGACTGTAGGTCAGAGCAGACAGATGTTTTTTACCCTCTTTCCTCCCTTGCTCCCTGCTTGGAAGGGTGCACGTTTCCCATCCCCAACTGAAAAGGGGTTTCCCATGAGCGTCAGTGGACGCCTGCCACTGCATGAGAGTGCCCAGAGGGACAAGAGATCTGGATATTACAGCTTGCAGAAGACAGGGGAAACAGGACTGTGAATGGATGCTGGATGGGCTTTGCTCCATATGGTCCCAAGCTTCCTCCTACTGAGATCAGTAGCAAAAATTGAGCTAATAACAGCAGTGTGGGATTTGGTCCCTCCATCTTCCTTTCCCCACTCTCTTTCTGCTATCCCAGCCCCATGTCCACAGGAATCACCCATCCAGCAGCGAATTTGTCCTGCCACAACAGAAGCCTCACAAATGGCACACTAGCCCCTGCCATGCTCTGTCCTCACCAGACGCATCTCACTCTGCCTGCTCCCAATGGTACAGTCGTGGCAGCGTTTGGCATAACTTGGCATGATCCATTTTGGCTTCCTCCAGCACTTACAGGTATAACCTGGGACTTGGCACAAACAGGAAAATGGAGAAAGGAAGTCATCTCATCTTGATCGAGGCTAAACGTGGTCTGCAGATACGGATGCAAGGCTTTGCCCCATTCTCCCTGCCTTCAGGCTCTCTCCTCTCAGGCACAGTTCTGGGTGGTTTTGGTGGTGACCAGGGCTGTGGCCCCCAGCTCCGTGGCAGGCAGTGGGAAGCCGTGGTTGCATTCCTCGTGCCGGGGGTACACAGTGGACAGCAGGATGATGTCACCATCGGCATCACCCTGGCAGCATGGCCCCCGCTTTGCCCCGGCTTTCCCAGATGGGTTCAGCATCTTCAGGCCTCCATTGAGATGCTGACATGGGGCCAGGGCCAGGTCCAGGGTGGCATCTTCCTCTGTCACAGCAGGATCCTGACAGCCTGGGATGGGCAGGGGGCTGGTGGCTTCCATGTTTGCTGGGAGGGAGCAAGAAAAGGGAGTTACAGGGCTTACAAAGTGGGATGAGGAAGGTCCCAGGGAGAGGGTCCCATCCCTGGGGACAAGTGGTGGGGAAGATGGTACTGAAGGAGGAAGAATGCACAAGGTCCCTACTGCACCTCTCCTGCTGCAGAGATGCTCCTGCTTACAACCGGCATTATAAGGAGGTGCTTCCCCCCCCCCAGAAAACAACAGGGGAAGGCAGAAACTTGCACTTGGAGCCCTGTCACTAAGCCCTGCCTGTGCTCGCCCTCCCCAGCCACCTCCCACTTAAAAATAGACTTGTTTACACCCTTCAAACTGAGGCGCGTGCTGCCGGCCCCGAGCTCCTGCGGCTTTCCATGCACCCAGTGCTGTAGGGGTGGGCTGGCTGGGTACGGGACAGGGGACACAGGGACCAGGGCACGCGTCAGGGCACAGCCGAGGGATGCTTCTGATGCGCTCCTCTCCTGCTGCTGGATTTCTCCCTCCTCTTTCTTTATCGGTGTTTTCGCTAGGTGCGCGCATCACAAGCGGTCACACACTTGGTTTAGCGGAAAAGCCCTGAGTAATACCCCCAAAAGGCTGAGTCACCCAGTCAGCTCCATGGGTGGCATGTGGGCAACGAGGAACCATTCTCCCTGCCCAGGGACAGGGAGCAGTGATGCCAGGCAAGACCATTGCTGAAAAGGGTGGCCAGGATTGAGCCCCTCTGGTGCAGGGGTTCTGAGGGGAAGAAACAGCCACGCAGCCCCTGGCTGATGTCCCATCACGGGGCACTGTGGCCTCCCCCCCCCCGAAAATACACCACCAGAAAAGTGTAGGGTATTGAAATACTCTCACCCCCAGCCCTATTTTGATGCCGCTGGGGACAGCCTTATGTGGTGTTTCAGTGTCCTGCCAACGGGACTGGCCCTGACCCTGTTGGGGTCTCTTGGGCGTGTGTGGGAGGGCACTGGGCATCCCAAGCAAGAATGGCGAGCTGGGCAATCAACACAGGACCCCCAGTCACAGCGCTATGGGGAAAGGCTCCCTGTGGAGATGCTCACCACTGTCCCCACAGCCTGCGATCCATCCATGGCCATCTCCCAGCTGCTGGGAGAGAGGCTTCTCACCAGTGCTCTATATGGGCACCCCATGAAGAGATGATGATGCCAGAAGGTGCTTTATGCACCCGGCAAAAGGAGAGATGTTTCAGCAGGGTTGCACTGGCAGCCAAGTGCAGGTATGTGTTTCAGGGGATGATGTGGATTACCATCGCTCAGGGGGCAGCTCAGCCGCCCTGCAATGCTCCAGGGTGTCCGTGGAGCCTGTGTCAAGGTGGAGAAGCCAGCCTCAACAGGGATGTGCTTTAGGGGAGCCAGTGACAAGTAACTCCATCTGCCCTGGGGTCCTCAGGGTGATGTGATAGAGAGAGTAAGAGGTCCCCTACCTTGGGCCTCCTTGTCCGCCGCCTTCATCTTTCTCCTCCACTTCCCCAGCTTGCAGACCAGGAAGCCCAAGAGGGTGGCCAGGACCAGGACGAACACCACTGCTGCCGGGACCCCAAAGATGAGGAGGGTGCTGGGCAGGTCCGTTGAGGGGTGGGTGGGCTCCAGGGCCGAGGCGGGCACTGCACTGGCAGGCTCTGCTGTGGGGAGAGATGCCAGCAGTGTCAGGGAGGGGAGAGCTGGGGTGAGGGCAGGAGGGCAGCAGCAGCATTACCCACCCATCTGCAGTGGCTGTGAAGGAGAGGGGCTCTTCAGCACTCATCACCCTCAATGAACTGTCCCCCCCGCTGACGGGACCCTCATCCCACAGGCTGGCTGGTGGGAGACGAGGACATCCTCCTCTTCCCATGGTCAACCCCTGGCAGGCCGTGACCCCTGCACTGGGCTGGGTCACTCTTCTCCCTGCACTGCATTCCCCGCACTGGAACGGGCTGCCCTCTTCCTCTCTCCTCCTCCTTCCCCTCCAGGTGAAGGCAGCGCTCCATCCCTCGTCATCTGCAGGACAAGGTTCCCCCCACCTGCCCACCCCAGGGTGCCCCCAGCCCTCACCAGTGTGTCCTGGGGAGCCCAGTCCCCATCCACCCTTGCCCCCTTACTTGTGTTTTCCTTGAAGAGGTCGGAGCACTTGACGCAGGACTTGGTCAGGGGGTCGAAGCACTGGGAGGAGAGGCAGGAGGAGGCAGAGACGGCTTTTCCTGAGGAGGACATGGCGGAGTGGGAGCGAGAGCCCGGCTCCCCCATGGCGTGTTGGCCCAGGGGCCGCCCGAGTGTGAAATCGCAGCGCCCCGGGGCCCGTGGCAGAGGGAGATACAGTCTGTCAAGCCTTGCTGATCCCCTTGGGGCTCGTGATCACTGCACTTGCCATGGGGCGGATCTTCACTGGGGAGGAGGAGGGTGAGGGCTCAAGCCCTATCCCTGCCTGTGCAACTGCTCCTCTCCTCCACACTATGCCTCCAAACTCCCCACAGCCTCATGCATTCCCAACTGTGCAGCACCCCAGCCCAGTGGTGTCACCTCCCCAGCCCAGCCATGTTATCTCCATCCAGGGCATGTCCCCCAGCGTGACCCAAGCCTCCCTGGCATGCCCCGTGCTACAGGAGGCTTTCCTATGCCTGTACTTCTGCAAGACCTCATCGCAGGGATCCAGCTTGGATGAGAAATGCAGAAAAGGACTCCAGGAGAAGAGTGCAGGGGCACTGAGGTTTCCCCTTTAAAAGCTCCCACTGCCCCCAGGACACAGCCTATTAGTGATTGCTGCACACACAGGCTAACTGGTGTGTGTTCTCCATCCTATTAATGATGATGCTGTCCATCACTTTGCACTTTCCATTGTCTCCATCCCAGGCAAGGATCCTCCCAGCTCTTGTCACCATGTCTCATCTGCCAGGAGTCGGATCTGGCTCTGCTCAGCAGCTGACCAGGATGTGGGCAAAGTAAGTCACACCAAGCCAGTCTGGTCCCCATACACCTTTGAAGGGACTAAGTAAACTCTTAATGGTCTTAGGTGTTCCTGATCAGGAGAAGGAGAAACATCCTGCCACCAGTACCTGCACATCAAAGCCTGATGCCTCAGATCTGAATTGGATAGGTGATGGATTTCAGTGCTGTAGGTGGCTCTTCTCCATCCCTACCAAACAACAGTCATGTCCCGTTTTTTTTCACCCCATAGGGAAGAAAGGGACCAGCCACAGTTGCTGGATTGCTCTCAGCTGAAGGAAGCAGCGCAGGAGACCTGCCCTGGCCGTAAGAGCCCTAACACAGCTTTACTGCTGGACTCCCATCCTTGCAGCAGCTACAGCCTCCAGGCTCTTTCTAGTGAGGTCTCTGCCGCTTGCTGCCCTGGACCAAGGCTGGGATGGGAGAAGGAGGAAAGCTGAAGGATGCTCTGACTCCAGATGGCAGAGTACTGGGCAGCCAAACTCCTCTGAAGCAGGCCAGAGGCCTTGCTCCCTGGTTGTGCCTGCTCCTCTGCAATGGCTTTTGGCCAAGCTGAGCCTACAGCCTCCATAAGCCACCCCTGAAGCCCCAAGTGGGTAGCTGGCCTCAGGGCAGTACCCAAGTGGCCCCGTCACCACCTCAGCCCTTCCCACGCGGCACCACAGGGCTCTGGGCGAGTGAAAGTGCTGACCAAAACTGGTCACTGCCCACCGGTTCCACGCCTGCCTTGATTTCACTTCCCCTTACAGCTGCATGCCCAGCCATTCAGCCCTTCACCTGGCTGCCAGGCAGCATTCTGCCCAAGCACCATGCCGGTGGGGATGGCTGTGCCAAGCCCAGGGAGCTGCAGGCTCCACTGAGGAGCTGTGAGACCTGGCTGCCATTCCTGCACCTCTAACTCAGTTCCTGCCTCTCCATCATAATCACGATAAGCCCCCCCAAGTGAGCAGGAGAACACCAAGCACTCCCCTCTCTCAGCACATCCCCAAGGTGCAGGCATGGGAGCTGGAAGGGTGTGTGTTCAGCAGCAGGGAGCATCCGGAGCAGCTCCAGGGCGATGGAAAGTGGTGATGCAGTGCTATGATCTGCAGCAGGAAGAAAGAGAAAAGCCCAGGCTTGCTCCAGTCCACATCTGAGCTCCACAGTGGAGACCCCCCTGGCAGGAGAGGGCATCCAGAGCCCCTGCTGTCCTCAGCAAGCAGCTCACAGAAGTGTAAGGGAAGGGACTAGGGAGCAGAAAACATCTTGTGTTGTGGGCTGGTGGGGCTGGAGCCACGTACAGTGGCAGAGGACCCCACAAAACAGCTCTGTAAGTGCTCTGTAAGGATTCCTGCCCCTGAAATGCCTCCCTGCTTCAAAGGCTTTGGTGTTCCTCTTGCCCTGGGGTATTTCCACCTGCTGGTCTCCTTTTCCCAAAGGGGGATGCTCCTCCATCACCCCCCTCTTGCCCTACCCTTGAAACTCCCCTGCTGTGATTCCCCTGCATCAGTTATCTTTCAGTGAGCCCCCAGCCCCTATTCCCATGGGTCCTGCTGTAGCACTGCCACCCTGCCCCTCTCCTTCCCCTCTCGGCTTAATGCACAGTGGGGGCAAATGGGTCTTGGCATCTGCCAGGATTAACTCTGTGACCCCTCCAGTCAAACACGTACACTGGGGGAAGCCCAGATGTGTTGCTTTTGACGTGGAGGGTGAAGTTTACAGTAACGCTCAGGAGCTGGCGGCTCCCATTTTGATACCTGGAGTGAAAATCTGAAGCTGCAAATGCATGGCAGGGAGCCTGAGACAGCATCCGTGATGTTCTCCTGCAAATAAAGTGATCCCAGCTCCTGTTACGTAGAAGGATGTTGTAGTCCCATCGCCACAGTTGACCTTACCTATTCCCCTGCATTTCAGGAGCCCTCTTCATCCTCCTCTGCAGCTCTTCCGTGCTCCATTTCTGCCCCAGCTGCCTCCTCCCGGGCCAAGAAAATGATGTTTGAATTCACACATGATAACGCTTACTCATGGAGAAAATCGCCACTGACTTTCCCAGCAGCACTTGCACGTGTGCCTGCTCATGAGTGTGGCCCATGCTGCCCGGCTGGCTCCAGGCATCGGCCATTCCTATCTCCATCTTCCCCATCTTTGCCTCCCCTGCCCTTCGTAGCAGCAGTTGCTTGATTTCGAAGCAGCAAAAGTTAAAGCTTGATGAGTAGTTTGAACTGTTTGCACCTCAGAGCTGAATACACTTGGTAATAGCACAAATGCATAATTAAAGAGCAGAAAAAATGACTCACTGGATAAGGAAATGCGTGTTTCTCATCTCCTCTGCGGTGAAACGAAAGCCCCAGGAGCCTGGGACTCTGGCTAACCAAGTGTCTTTATTAAACAAATAAACCAGCAGAGATATCAAACAAGCTGTTTACAATTGTATCTTAACCCTAGAGTTGGAGGGCTGGATCCTCAGTGCTGCCTGCTCCAGCCCCACACTGGGAGGGCTGGCTTCGGCCAAGGCTGGCTGTTGGGATACCCACGGTGGATGGGGCAGTGACTCAGGAGCGTGGAGGGACAGGGGCATTCTGCGGGTGCCTGTGCACACACGAGTGACCGGACCAGCGTCGGGGTGGGTGAAGTGACTCACGCACACGCCTGCAGAGCCGCCCGCAGCAGAAAATACCCACCGAAAGTTCACCTTGTGCTCGTGTGCACCGGAAACCCAAAGGCTTGTTGATTGCAGAAGCTGCAAGGTGTTTGTCGAGCAGACCCAGTCACTCTGGGACAAGCCTCTGGCTGGATGCACCCAACACCCTGGGAATGCCCCGTGTCTGCCCCACATCCAGATGGTGCCTCTGGAAGGCTTTGGCTGGAGCTGGCCCCCAAAGCACATTTGGCACCTCACCCGTGCTCCCCTTTGCAACACCCCTGTGCTGGTTGGTGGGAAGCATCTCCTCCCAGGAGGTCCCACTGTGGCTCTCAGGAGCTGGTTTCACAGGGCTCCAGCACAAACCGGATCCTCCTCAGGATCCCTAGTCCCGCTTTGCTCTGCCTTCTCTAAGCCAGCTGGGCTTGGGGGCAAAACCTGAGAAGGTTTTATGAATAATGTGGGGAAACCGAAGGCTTTAAGGGGTTCACTGTGACCCCAAAACTCAGACCCCTCTGTAGGTGCTCTGCTTCTTGCCATGGTATTCTGTGGCACTGCTCATGCACGTGCATGGGAATTTGGCACTGGGCAGCACCCTGGCAGCACCTGAAAGTTGTTCAGCTTCTCCCTCCCTGTTTGCATGTCCCTGGACCTGTTCTTCTCCATGAGGCTAAGGAACAATGAGCAGGTGTCCTTGGCCCCTCTTCAAAGGGACTTGGACCCCTCCACAGGTGATGCTGAGCACCCACATTAGGCTGCTACAGTGGGCTGCCCTTTGAAAACCCCTCCAGGGTTACAAGTGGTGGGTCAGCGCTGCCTGGGCTCAAGCTCCCTCTGCCCGTTCCTGCTCCCTCCCATAGAGAGCCCAGGAGGGACACAGCACCATGGACCACATCAGGAAACCCCCCTCCAGCCCTGGGGGAGCTGAGCCCTTGACCTCCCCTGTGATGGTGAGGAGGTGGTGAGGAGCGAGGGGTGCTTCCAGCCGATGTGCTGGCCGCTCTTGCCACTCCGCAGAGCTCAGTGGGGCTCTCTCACAAGGCTCAGGTCCCCACACACTGGCTGGGCTCCCACAGCCCCGTGTTGTGAGTGACACACCTTTAGCTGAGTCCAGCTCTTCTGCCTGGATGTCCCTGCAAGCAAATGGTGATCAAAGCCCCCTGACTGCTCTGCCTGCATCAGGGATGCTGCCCCCATCCTTATGCTGAGAATGGGTGGGAGCTCACCCTGTCCCCCTTGGGTGACTGGGGGAAGGCCAAGTGCCCTGCAGCTTTGCATGTCATAGGAAGCCTCCATGTGCTCGGCAGGGCCAGGCAGCGCCTCCAGCACTGAAAGAGAAACCGGTGGCTGAGAGCAATGTGCTGCCAAACTACAAACCTCTGAGCAGGTGGGTTCAGGCATGTGCACACTGGGGCAGAACCCCCCCCAGCACCCACAGCACAGCCCCACCGTGCTCTCTCGGGGCAAGAATCTCCAACAGATGGCTCCAGAGCCAAAATCAAAGCCTGCTGAGGGTAAGGGGCTGCGTCCCTTGGCTCCAGCAGCCAGGCACAGGGACCTGCTTCAGTCAGCCTGGACGTCAAAACTAAACTCGCCGGCCCCAACTGCATTTTGCATAGTGCTTTATTACAATGAACTGCTTGCAGGACTGCTGCGGCTCCAGTGCACACACAAGAGGGGTTTGATGAATTCATTTGAACAAGAAGGCAACCTGAGAGAACACAAAGGTGCTTGCAAGCAATCCCAGGGCAGAAGAAATGATGTTTTCCCTGATTGCATTGATTTCTTGCAATTTATTCTGCTTCCTGCTGTACAACCACCCACCTTCCCCACACAGAAATGACGCCCCACCGGCCC